CACACAGTACTCGGTGTGGAGCAGAGGCTGCTATGTGTCTGTGAATTCACCGGGGATGCTGGAAAGAGTGCAGAGGCCCCACCTTGGCCTGGGAATACCCCGAGTCACATGACAACCATCAGGGTGACCATTAACCCTCAGTCAAGGTTGCCTGCCAGCAGGGTCCAGCCTGCGAGGAGTAGGAAACCAGGTCCAGCGGGGTTGTAGACACATCCTCAGCCTCTGGCTATTCCTGAGGGTCTTTTGCTTTTCTGCAGTGTTGGGGATGGAACCGATGCCTGGAAAATCTACCCCTGCTCCTCCTCCCTGCCTGGCTGAAGGTGTCTCAGCTGTACCTGATTCTCCCTCCTCTCTGCAGATAAAGCTGTGTACCAGGCGTGGCTGTAGATTCAGGGGACTCAGAAGAGGCAGGTGTCGCCATTTGGCCCCATCCCTCCGATGTGCCTTTGTGAATGTATTAGACAGTCACTGAATCTCTTTGACAGAAGGGAAAACTAGGCCTGGGCATTTTAGTGCTAATCTCTTCCCAACTTCCCAGCCATCAGGACTTCTGGCCTCCTCAGCATGTGCCAGGAACTGACTTCCACCCTCGAGGCCAGGGGCAAGCTTCCTGCCTCCTTAAACTGAGAGACTTGCTTAAGGAGTTGTAGCTCTGCCTACCGTGTGTCTCCCGAGCCTTGCGCAGCACACAGCATGGAAACTCAATACACACTGACTGGGTGAGGCAGAGACAGGAAGGCGGGACTAGTGGACGCAGCCTGTCCATTGGCAAGCCATTTCTGAATTGTTTCATGTTCACTAAACCCAGCCCGTGGTGTGTGATTACCTCTGCAGCACCAATGCAGTATCTGCAGAACCTAAAGGGATAAGTTCAAGAGACTCTGGTGACAACAGGCCTAGGTTGTGTCCCATCAGAGAACCCTGGCTCTGTGGGAGCTATGTGAGGCACTCTAGTGGAGGTAACTTGGCCTGGAATAGACACAGATAGCAGAGGCTGGTGAAGCAAAGTCGATTCGAACAAGACCTGGGAAAGGACACAGAAGGACTGTGACAGTTACACCATTGGCTTGTGTTCCTGGGGAGTATGGCTGCTGGGCAGACGACAGACTGTGTGACTGAGTGAGGTTGTAACACTGAGGAAGAGCTAGCCCCTTCTCTCCTGGGCTCTGATCTGAGAATTTGGTTACTGTCTCCCTCAGCTGCCTCTTCACAGAGCAGATTAAACTGGACCCCAGTGCCCAGAGCCCATTACAGCTGAGCCCCAGGCCTCAGAAACACACTCCGCATGTCTGTGAGCAGGGTCAACCCTGTAGCCCACAGGTTCACCTCGGATAGCTTGATAGTGTTGAGTTGGTGGGCAATGAGAACATGGTACGGCCTTCAAACTGCACCTGGATGATGGAATAGATGAGGCCCATAGCCCCAAAGTCCACAGCTGCTCTGGCCTCATCCAACAGTAGAATGTTTGTCTTCCTAGGCACACAAGTTGGCACTGCTTGATGCTAGAAAAGCCCAGCGACAGGGACTCAAACTACCATGATCTTTGAACCAGGCCTGGGATGGGAGAAAGCTAGCAGACAGTTATGGAGGCTTTGGGCAGGGGAAGAAACCCAATCCTCATATCCATGCCCATGGCAGACATTACTAATGGATCATGCTACACTTCCTGGTGAGCAGAAAATGAGCTTAGAATCATTCCCAGCACAAGGCTCAGAGGTAATGTTTGAAGTGTCAGTCCAGTTTGGTACAGACGACGGTGGAAAAGGAGTTTCAGTATCCAAGGATCCTGAGCTGTAGGGACCACAGCACTGCCCTGACTCAGATGTGTGGCTGGCCCTGGGCCAACGGGATGCTGGCAGAAGCCTGACAAGAGAATGAGCATTGAACATGCTCATGCTTATACATCTCCCATCGCCACGACAACAGGCCTTGGCCAGTCCTCCGGGAATGGAAAAATATAGGTATTGGTCTCATTGAGAGGCCAAGTAGATCAGTCAACAGCTAGCTGTCCTACCCCGCGCCACATTGAGACCAACCAAGGTCAGCCACTGGCTGACAACCCTAACACGGGAGCAGAGTGGAGGCTGGTCGCCCTGGTGACGGATAGACGAAGCTAGCACTCAGGGAAGAATGTTCGCACACCAGGCCCCTACCTGCCTACCCACCTCAGTTCTCCCTGCCTTCTGCACATTTATGATTCAGCTTCTCAGGCAGGCTGACATGAAGCCCTTCAGGTGAGGGACTCCAGGGCTTTCCAGACTCCATCCGAATACCTCCAAGAGGGTCCAGGTGCATGCGGAGAAACTTTGGGGACAAAACAGTACTGTGCAAGTCAGCAGATGGCCCATGCAAGGGTCTGAATCTAGAAGGCTCCCCACAGACTGATGCTTTGAGTACGTGTTCCTCATCTGGTGGTGCTACTTTGGGGTGCTGTGGAGCCTTTGGGAGGTGGGCCCTGGCCAGAGTCATCAACACACACACACACACACACAGACACAACCATCTGCCACCCTCCACGTCCCCACTATGATGCACAGCAACCCTGAGCATCATGAATCAAAATCTGCCGGGCGTTGGTGGTGCACGCTTTTAGTCTCAGCACTCAGGAAGCAGAGGCAGGCAGATCTCTGTGAGTGTGAGGCCACCCTGGTCTACAAGAGCGAGTTCCACGACAGCCTCCAAAGCCACAGAGAAACCCTGTATCCGAACCCCCCAAATAAATAAATAAATAAAATAAACCTCTGTTCCCTGCAGATGACTCCATCACAGTTATCAGAAAAGTATCGAACAGCGTGTGACAATCCCACCACACTAAACAGCAGCGGCCCTCGCAGAGATAAAGCACGAGACTTTCACAGTAGAACAGGGAGAAGCCTCAGACTTCCTCCAAAGCATGAACTCTGAGGAACATTTGCAATGGGAAGTACCTGGAAACTCCTGAGTTAACTGGACCAAAACAGATATTTTTGCAAAACTTCACCAGATTTTCACTATGTACATGTGCTAGGAATAGAAGGAAAATGAGGCAAGGGCAATTCCTAAAGAACTGAGGATACCTTCAGTGTAGTTTAAATGAGAGCTGCCCCCCACAGGCCCATGTGTCTGAATGATTAGTGTAAGGACTCAGACATTGTGCTGGCCGGATGCACTCAGGCAGTGCCCTGGTCAGCCCAGGGTTCCATGATGGCATAATCTCCACGCAAGTGCAAAGGGCCCCTTTAAAAGACAGAGCTCACTCTGTAGACCAGGCCTGGCCTTGAACTCATAGAGATCATCCTGCCTCTGCCTCCAAAGTGCGGGATTAAAGGAGTGTGCCACCATGGTCTAGCATGGGGACTCTGTTAATATACCCCCAGACAGCGACTTGACCGAGGGCAAGTGTGTATGAGGACAGATCCCTAAACTCCACCAATGCCAGGGAGGCATAGCCGACACCTGTGCCTTGAAGACAGAGAGGGGTCACAAGCGGGCCAGCGAGTGCAGCCACATCCCAGAGCTCTGTGTGTGACTAAGAGACACAGCCTGACGGGGCAATGTGGGAGAGCCACGGAGATGGGTCTCCAAAGCAACCTCAGGCCTCCACTGCACCCCCCCCCTCCACACGGCGATGCAGGGCTGGAGAAAAGGGGTCAGCGGCCCCTGGCGGTGATCACTGCTTTCGCAAATGATCAAATGTGGAGCTGGAGAGATGGCTCAGAGGTCAAGAGAGCACTGACTGCTCTTCCAGAGGTCATGAGTTCAATTCCCAGCAACCACATGGTGGCTCACAGCCATCTGTCATGAGATCTGTGCCTTCTGGTGTGCAGGCAGCCAATGAGGCAGAATGTTGTATACATAATAAATAAACAAATCTTTAAAAATAAAAGACAGACCTCTGCCCAATGATGTTCTTTCCTGCTGTCTTCTCTTCTCCAGCTCTCCTCCCTTTCCCTGGGGGATTCATGCAAGGTTCCCCTCAAGCTTTATCATAACAATTGGTCCCCAGTTAGTGGTGCTGACTGGGGGTTACAAACCTTTAGGAGGTACAGCCTTGCTGGAGGAAGTCATCCCTGGGGGAATGGGCTTTGAGGTCTTATAGCCTCATCCCACTTCCTGTCCTTTCTGCTTCCTGTGTGTGGATGAAATGCAATGACTTCCTGTTCCTGCTTCCATGCCTTTCCTGCCGTTATAGACTGCCTCTGAACTGAGAGTCAAAAGCCCCTTTCTCAGAGTGGCTTCAGGTGATGGTATTTCACAGAAAAGCAACTGACCCACTCCCCAACCCCACCCCAGCACAGACTGTCAGAGAAACGTGAGGGGAAAAAAAACCACAACCATGGCAATGCATTGGGGAACTGCTGTCCACAGGGATGAGTCTAGAAAATTCTTGTTTGTGGCTTAGCTCTAGGAAGTGCTAGAGAGATTAACACACTAACTCCTGCAACTGGCAGAAAAGCCCGGGTCCTCCTGAGCCCCCCACTACTAAAATCCATAAATGTTCAGTTCCTTAATGAAGTGGTACACACATGTCCATGTGTGTGCACATGTTTATGTATGTGTGTAAATGTGCATGTTTGTGTATATTATGTATGTTAATATATGTACATGTGTATATTTCTGTGTTTGAATACACAGTTATTTTTGTGTGTAAATTTATGTCTGTGTACATATATATCTACACGTGTGTGCATGTGTATATTTGAGTGTGTGTACATGTATATAATTTTTTACCTATACATATGTGTGTGTACCTGTGTGCAGTTATGTGTATATATCTATGTTTGTGAGTGCACACTTGTGCATTTACGTGTGTATGTGTATACATTTGAGTGTGTATGTGTGTATATTTATGCATGTACATGTATATGTTTCTGTGCATGCACATATATGCCTATGTGTATGTTTGTATGTATGTGGGACCTCAGTGTGCGCTGACCTCCTCCTGCGTTAATGCTTCAATGTCCTGGACACCGCTGTCACAGTGCTCTCCTTTCTAGTCAACGTAGGATCGGTTCACTTACAGCTCTCCTGTGGGAGGGGCCTCAGCAGTCCAGGAGTTCTTGTCGTACTTTTACTCCATTTGCACGATGTTGTTCATCCAGAGCTTGGGGTCTTTCTCCAGCCATTCGCCATGGTGGTGGGGTGAAGGGCCTGAGCCAGTGGGGTTTGCTCCTTAAACATCTACAATAAAAGACTCTTTGCTTTTGCATCGAAATGGGCCTCTTGGTGATTTGGGGGTTCAGAACTTGGGCACAACATTTGGGGGCTCATCCTGGATCCCTGAAATCCACCACGACACCCCCTTTCGCTGAGTCAGGTAATTTTCTGTTTTTGCCTAGGCAAATCTTTCAAGTTCTGCTTTCTGTCTCTGGCTGTTGAAACTTTGGTCTTTGTTTCTGGTTGTTTAAGCTCTGGTTTCTATGAAACCTACACTCTGTGGTTTGGCGGTTTGGAGGAACCATTGGATTAGAATTGGGTTCCCCAAGCAACCTGCTTAGCAGGCTTGTTATCACGGGCAGGCTTCTTATCGCGAGCAGGCTTGTTATCTGACTTGCTGCGATCCTCAGCCTGCAGGCTTGGCAGGACCTGAGCACCTATGTTTTGTGTCAGTTTTTGTGTGATTCTGTTGGGTAGGCTAGCGAGATCTGTGAAAACAGAGGATTAAGGGGGACGCCCCAATGCCTGGTTCTGGGCGGAGGTCTGAGTGGCAGCCAGGCTCCACAGTCTATAAAAAGGGGACTCAATCATGGGATTGAGTCTTCCAGTCTGTAAAATGGGGACTCAATCATGGGGTTGAGTCTTCCAGTCTGTAAAATGGGGACTCAATCATGGGGTTGAGTCTTCCAGTCTGTAAAAAGGGGAATTGGTCACTTGTCCCATTTGGCCGGCCGTCTGTCTGAAAGTTCTCGCAAGATTCTGAAGAGGGCCCTAATCTGTCTAGTCTTTGTAATGTGCTATGTGGTTGTTAAGTCTTTGTTTGTCCTGACTCTGACACCCATGAGTTCCAATGGAACAGCTGCCGCTCTGGACTCCAGCTGGGTGCTTTTCTGATAAGTTGGTCCTATGGCTGCTGACTTTGGCCAAGCCCAGCTAGTCGCTGGCCCATCTTATCCCTCTGTCTCTGTCCTTGCCTGCCTATGCACGTGGTGCACGTCAGGGGTCTTCTCTTGCTGCCCTGAACACATGGCGTGCAGGGCAGGAGTCCCTCCCACCATGTGCCATGGGTTAGAGCATGCTGCGGCAGGGTCTCCTGTCCCTGAGCATGTAGTGAGGCAGCTGCTCTGTTCTCCAACTGCTGCTGCAGCCCTCACAGCTGAGCCTGCTCCGTCCTCACCTGCCTGCCTGTGAGGTGTGCAGGTTGTGAGGATGGGGCTCTCTCTCTCTGTGTGTCTCTGTCTCTCTCTCTCTCTCTCTCTCTCTCTCTGTCTCTCTTTCTGTGTCTCTGTCTCTCTGTCTCTCTCTCTCTCTCTGTCTCTCTGTCTCTCTGTCTCTGTCTCTGTCTCTGTCTCTGTCTCTCTCTCTCTGTCTCTCTCTCTCTGTCTCTCTGTCTCTCTCTCTCTCTCTATCTCTCTCTCTCTCTCTCTCTGTCTCTCTTTCTGTGTCTCTGTCTCTCTCTCTCTCTCTCTCTCTGTCTCTCTTTCTGTGTCTCTGTCTCTCTGTCTCTCTCTCTCTCTCTATCTCTCTGTCTCTCTGTCTCTCTTTCTGTCTCTCTCTCTCTCTCTCTCTCTCTCTCTCTCTCTCTCTCTCTCTCTCTCTCTCTCTCTCTCTGTCCCATGCACATGGCATGCTGGCAAAGGAGCCATCTGCCAGCTTTCCCCTCCACCAGAGCTCCCTGCCCGAGCACACAGGGCTGGAGCAGGTAAGCCATTTGGCCAGATCCCGTCTTTCCACAGAAACAGAATGACCTTAAAGTTACTATAACCACAAGAGAAAAGGGAAAATATAAACACTGTGGTGTTTCATTTCTACAAATGCTAAATTTTAAAAATTGATAAGTTAAATTTTTTGGTCATATTATTCTGTTTAAAAAGTTGTCTAACTCAAAAATTATGTATGCTTGTTTTGTTAAAAAAAAGTTCTATCTGTATTTTCTGACATAATCTAAGTTTTATTATAAGCATAGAGCTAAAACAAAAATGGTGCAGGTTGCCACCGTTTTGCAGTCAGTCACATGGCAAGCTGGCCACATGGCTGGCTGGTAGCCATTTTGCTGAAGTTAAAAGAGATACCTGAACCATCATCTTGACTAAAGGTAATCACATGGAAGTTATGAGGTACCATCCTATAAATAAGTTTTTTATTCAGACTTAAAATGTTAATGCTTTTATACACAGGAATGCTAAGCTTTGTAATTTAACAGTCACCCAGATGATAATGGTTTTAAAGGCCTAATGTATTTTGGTTTTCAATATTTAAAAAAACATTAAGGGATTTTAAAATTTCTTTTAAAAACAGTTTTTAAAATGTTTTCAATGTTAATGATTATACTTAAAGAGCTTACATTTAAAATCATTGGTTTTTTTAAGCTAAACCTGACAATGTAAAGTTCTAGTTTAATTAAAAGTTAATAAAGTTTATACTTTCAACAGCTAGCCTTAAGGCAGACAAACCTCCAATACTTCAGAGACCTACAGAACATGACATTTAAAATGTGAATTTAAAAGTTTATAATATCAGACTGACTGCTAGTTCCTAACAGTGACCCAAAGTCTCCAAAGAAGATTAGGAGGCACCCCGGTCCCTGCACCTGGACTGTGTCGACGCTGACCAGTGAGCTGACCAGTGAGCAAGATGCTCAAAGGTGACACCTGCTGGCCCAGAATGTGGACAAAGCTGGAAAATTGATTGCACCCCTTTTGCTGAGACAAAACAAGGTCGGTCTTTTCCATGTCCCTCTTCCAAAGAGAGAAAGAAAACTCTTACCTTACAGGCCTGGTGAAGATTGATGCTGTTCCTGATACTTGTGCCTCCAACACTAATAGAGGAGACTTGGGTATGGCTGTATATGGACTGGTACCTGTAACTTTTTAATAGATTCGGAAACTACAAAATTTATCCTTCTCAGATTTCTGAAAGTATTAATGATTGCCAGCTTGACAACATCAGGCAGCCAAATCCACAAGACTATAGTCAGCTTGGTAGCTCATTTTATTTATGTAAAAATCAAGCCTTAATATGTCTCAATAAGGATCAAAAGATATAAAAATATAAAATCTACTGTTCAATCAGGTTTTTGGGCTTATTTTAGTTGTCAGATAAATATAAACTTCAAGGGCTTTTCATCAGGCCAAAGACACCTCTGTTCATTCATACCTGTCTCCCTGGACAGAAGACAAATGTACACTACTAGCCCAAATCTGTAGTTTCTGCTAGGACTCAAAAGTACAGGCACCCAGATATCTGCTTTTTCTGCAATGTAGATTTCAGTACCAATTGATAATGCCAATGTGTCTATAACCTTTACGTCCTTTTGTATAATAAAATTTACATAGACTTCAGAGGATCAAAAGTCATACAGCTTGGATCCACTTCTCACAGGTCAAGAGGACTCCAGATAAGTACAGCCAGTTATCCCACCTGTCTTTTCCTGAGGATGAGATTTTCTCTCCTGGACATGGGATTCCTGCCCTTCCTGATCACTAATACTATGGGTCTAAAGAGTTCCAATTAAATACATAAGTTTTAACTTCTGTTCACAGTTTTAAACATGTCTTAAACAGGTTTCCACTTCTGGCAAACACATCTGAACATCAGTTGCTGACCACAGCCTGCTCCTAAAGACTGCGAGCCCTAGACTTGCTGTGGATGTGAACCAGTTCAGCTGATGTGGACACCCCCTGTCTCTTCAACACAGTCTGCCAATCAGCTGCTCCTGATGGATACCCCATTGCCTAAATTCCCTTTTTGCTTTTGACTTGCATTTCAGCATTCTTGGGTCACCCAGCTGCATCCCAAAGTCAGCAGGAAGTAGCATGGAAAAGATATGTCACCCCCTTTTCCCTGGTTGAGATGCTAAGTCAAAAAGAAACTCCCTTACATAGGGAACAATATAAGATACAAATGTCATTCCCACAGAAAAATCTGTTGGGTAACGACAAGGCCTGTTAACAACCCTTTGAGCCTCCAACAGGCAGGCCTCAGGATTGAGTCCTGTCATGGGTACATGAGAAGGGGGGAATGTAGTGACCAGTCCCCCATTTTAGCAGCCATGACAGGCTAACATGTACTTGCATGACCTTGCTGCTCCTGTCCTGGTCACTAAGGTCAGATACCCTCCTCGCAGCAAGGAACCAATCAGAAGTTAGCTGGCAGGGCTGTGCTTTACGGCTCTGGGTGTGCTTTACAGAGAGTGCTCAACAGTGACCTGCAGAACATAGCTGCGGTGCACGAGTAGTAACTGTCCTTGCTACTGCACTATTGCTTCCAATTGTGCTGGGTACTTGTCCACCCCCTTAAGCTGCTCAACCTAAAAACGTGGGCACTGCTGCTCTACTTCAGTCCTGTGCAGGTCTGGACAAGTGCATCCTTCTGTTTTGCCGTAAACGAACGTCCGTTTATGATGCATCGCATGTACCACAGCTTACCAGGGACAGCACTGTGTAGTGCCTTGGTAATAGATGCGTGTGCCGTGCTACACGAGTCCAGCCGCGTGCGGTGATTTGCTAGCTCATCCCTGTGTAGGAGGGAGGAGCTTTATATACAGGTTTACAGCACAGTGGAAAAACCCCAGGTAGAAGACAGCGTGTTTTCCTCCTACTAGATGTTGATGTCAGAGGGTCAAGGCCAGGGCAGTAAGCCAGGACTAGAAAACAGGAAGCTCTTGGACTGGAAAACAAGTTGCACTTGTAGGCTGACCAGCAACTCACAGAGACCCCATGGGGCTGGGGCCCAACATCTCCCCCCTTCTTTATATATAAATTAGCAGGATGTTAAGAATTTTCTTGTTTTTTGTATGGATGGGATTTTAGAAAGGGTTGAGGACCTACCTGAAAGGTACTTCCTACCCACGATGGTGAATATTAGCTTCATAATCAATATAATTTTGTTAATGAAATGGCTCAAAAATAGGAATAAACTTACACAGGTCATACAGTCATCGCAGGATAGTTTTGAAATCTTAATACAAAGGATTCAGGAAGTGCAAAATTCATTGCAGGAGAATAAGAAAGGGTTGGTAGATAATATTCAGGATATCAAAAATGATAATGTAGGTCTGACAAACAGATTTAAAGAGACGGAACACAAAATTGAATTACTATCAGGAAAAATGTGTTCCACAGAGAGAATTGAAAAATTGGAACATAATGTGGAAACATTTAACAAAAAACACGGTTCCATGTTTGATGATTTCACTAGTAAATTACAAAGACTAGAACC